CCTGGGGCTGGCGAGGAGCAGGGCTGTGGCACTGCCTGGTCCTCCGGGCGCTGCTTCCCTGCCCACCCGGCTGACCCCCTCCTGCCCACACTGTCTTCCCCACCGACCCAGAGCCCAGGCAGGGTGCTGAGGTCCAACCAGCCCCCAGCCCCCACAGGACATAAGGGGCATTTGGCAGAGCTCCTGGCAGAGATGCAGGGATGGCACCAGGGAAAACACATCCCCCTTGGATGCGGGCAGAGCCATCTGTAGTGGCAGGGTCCTGCTTCTCTAGGCAGGGCTGTCCATGGGGCAGGCAGGCATGTTGGGTAGGGAGCCTGATGCCCCTGGGAACCCACCACGTAGGGCTGGTCCCCATATCTCCCATGCATCAGATGCACTCACAGGTGGCATCCCACACCCTGGCTGTGGGTCTGATGGCTCCTCTCACCCTCCCCAGCATGTCCCAGGCCGGCGGCAGCCCCCGGGCAGAGGATGCGGGGCCGTGCATCGGGACACACTCGCGCACCCCGAGCCGGGGCAGCCAGGGGGTTGAGTGCATCATCTGCTACTCCTCCTACGACCTGTGTGGCCGGCTGCCACGCCGGCTCTACTGTGGCCATACCTTCTGCCAAGCCTGCCTGAAACGCCTCGACGCCGTTGCCAACGAGCAGCGCTGGATCCCCTGCCCACAGTGCCGCCAAAATACGCCCACGCCGCGTGGCGGCGTTGCCATGCTCGACCTTGACTTGGCCACCTTCCTTGCTGTCAAGGCTGACAAGGAGCATCCCCGGGTGGCAGGCAGGTCCCAGCCTGACTCGGCCACCAAGGGCTCATGCAAAGAGAAGGCGGTCACCCAGCAGCCGACGGGGCTGTGCCAAGACGCAGTACTTCCAGCACCGTTCCCCCGAAGCAGCTGCTGCCGGCCGTGCCTGTGCTGTGGGGTGACGGCAGCCTTTGAGAGCTGAGCAGGAGGAGGGGGCTGCTGGCAGTGCACGGGCAGCTGAGCTCCTGGGGTGCAGACTGGGACCATTTTGGGGGACCCCAAACCGTGCACCAGACCCACATCAGGACAGTAGTGGTGGGGCTGTGCTCGCAGCCTGGGAAGGGCTTCAGCTTGCTCAGGGCTCGCTGTTCATCCTGCCGGGATTCGGGGTGAAATGGGGGGCTGAGGATGCTCCCACTCCCTCATCCTGCCCACCCACCCCTCTGACAACTCAGAAACCTGGTCCAGCCATCATGGATGTCCCCAGTCCCTGGCCCAGGGCTTGCTCACACCTGACTTCTCCGTGCACATGGCTCTGCAAGCAGGGACACCCCTGCCAAGCATCCCCCAGCCAGGGCACACGGGAGTCTTGCACCGTGCAGCAACACAGCGATGCTCTGGGGAGCATGTCCGGCACCTTGAAAGCTTCGCGCCTATTAAACAACTCTCTGTTGGCCCTGCTGGGTTTCATATCTTGGTCATATTTGTTGGTAAACCTTGGGCTAGCCCGGGGCAAGCCATGCCTGTGGTGGGGGCCAGATGGGGAGAAGTGACCTGCCCTGCCGGATTGCTTTCCTTTAAGTGTTTGCTCTGTTGGTCATTTGCATGAGAAATTTGGGCGTTGGGGTAGCTGAACAGTTGAAAACAAGGATGACGGAGCCCACAGGAACTCCTGCTTGGCCTTGTGCTCCACGGCTCGTGCCAGGTTTGGTTTTTCTGCCTGACCCTCTCCCCACCTTCCTGCCTGCACACCTGCATGCAGTCCATACAGAAGTCCCTCCGCTGTTTTTCCAGGTTGTGTCTTTGCGTGGCTTTCCCTGCCTGACTCCAAACAGGGGGTGCAAGGACAAGAGCCCAAACAGCTGGGTGTGGGTTTAACAGAGGCCAAATGAGGAGGGCTGGGGTGCACCAGGGTGATATTAATACAGTTCTTGGGCAGGGCTTGGTGTTACCTGGGCAGCTCTTGTGGTCCTTCCTCAGAGCCCATTTTCTGTATCTGTTTTCCATGTGGTTTATAAGCTCTTGCAATATCCCAGCAATCAGGCACCGCTGGCTGCCCCTCGGAGCTCAGCAGGGGACCCCAGCCTGTGCCTCCCTGGGGCCAGCAGTGATCTCCTGCCCCCTGGGCAGTCCTGGTGCTTGGCTGTCCCCTGCACTGGGTGCCAGGGATGCAGCCAGAGAAGTCCAGAGCCCCTGCATGCACAGCACCCATACTGTGCACAGTACCCCCCCTATTCACGGCACTCACATCATGCACAGTGCCCATGCACAATTCTGCCACTTGGTGTCACCTGCCATAAAAAAGTCAGAGCTGAGATGTGCCCAGCAGAGCCCAACCCGGGGACCTTCCAGCCATGGGATCAGGGGCATCAGGGATGCCCCAGGGCAAAGGTGCCCAGGGGGGACAGCAGAAGCATGGTGTAGTTCAAGGACTCCATGGGGTGGGCATCTGCCTGCCTTGGATCTTGGATCACGGAAACATGCAATAAATTAAAGCCTTCAAGGACAGGGAAAAAGCTAACATGGAGTCTTAAAGCACCTTCCCCTCTATCTTCATCTCTCCCCAGTGGGTGGTGGGAAGAGTTTGAGAAGGGCCCATCCCTACCCCAAGCACAGGTCCAAAGGTGCCAGCAGGACTCTGTGCTCAGCCCGGCACCTTGGGTCCCATCTTTCCAACGGTGGAGGGTGACAAAGACCCATGGCTCCTGTCCCTATGCCCGGGTCCTTGCCTCCATGCTCCTACCCCTGCTCCACCACACCTCCCCAGCACCAGAACCAAACTGTGAAGCTCGGCCCTTGCTGTGTGCCTCTGCTCGTGTCTCTGCTGCTCCCAGCCAGTGGCTGGTCTCTGAAGGAGTTTATCTGCCCCTCCATCACTTCATTGTGGGCGTGTAAGTAAATCAGGGCACCCTGATTTACTCCCCTTGGCCAGAGCAGGGCTGGTGTTGAGCCCCATGCCTTGGGGGACTCCTCCATTGGTCAGCATGGCCCCCCCGAGCTGTCCTTGCACAGTGGATGCTCGGAGCAGCCTCTTGTGGGCCAGGCTGCACCGTTCCGTGTGGAGCCCAAAATTGCAGGAGGAGGCATTGCAGCGGCGGAGCGGGACACCAGTGGGTGCAGCCCTGGCTGGGGACAGGGACCTGGGCTCTTCCTGCAGGGTGCTGGGTCCCCCCTTCCAGAGAAGGGTTCAGTGGCAGGAACCCACGCTCTGCCAAGCACTGGCAGCATGTGTGAAGGGACAGTGGTGGCTCTGCTAGAGTACAGGACCCCAGAGGGTCACTAGCCTGCAACTGCATGCAAAATAGGCCAGGCACAACCAGCACCAGCCCTGCGCTTGGCCGGTGTCCCCAGCAGGCAGGACACTGGGGACATCTCTCTTGCCACATGCCATGGGAGTGTGCAGCAGGCTGGCAGCGAGGGGCTGGCAGAGGAGCTGAGATGGGTTTGCAGCTTCCTGGGCTCTCTGAGCACAAAAGCTGGAAATGGCCTTGCTTTTGGGTTTTTTTTCCAATTAATTTTACACTTCTCACCTGATCCCAGGTGGCCGCAGGCGGTGGGCAATGCAACCCCTGGGGAGGAAGAGTATTTTGGGAAAGGGCTCCCTAAGAATTCGGGTCCCCATATAGCCCGCAGCTGCTGGCAGGATGAGCTGCTGCTGCAGCTCCACGTGGCTGCGGGTTTGTGCCCTGCTTTGGGGCTGGGCTGGGCTGGAGGATTCCTCTGAATTATTTCCAGATGGGGATTAATGCAGCAAACCGAGTTTGCTGCAGGATAGATAAACAAACCAAAGCTCCTCTGGATGCTATTAATAAACCACCTGCCTGCTGCTTCTGCCCCAGATTTGGGAACATCCTGGTCCTGGCCTGGGGCACAGGCACGCACTGCCTTGCTGCCCTTCCAGCCCTTTGGCTGTGAGGCAGAATTGCCAGGGATTCCTCCGTGACCGTGACCGCTGGGATCCCAAACGGGATAGGAGCTGCAAGGGTGTGAGTGGAGGACAGTGTCTCTGCTCCGGGCCCCCATGCCGGGCTGCGGGTGGGATGAGGTGCTACTGGCCATGTCCCCTGGTCTCCTGGTGTCTGCTGAGCTCTGCCAGGGACAGTGGGCGCTGGGAGGTGACACCTTTCCTTTCCAGCCTTCTGCTCCAGGACTTCAGGCAGCTTTGAAACCGGAGCAGGTGTAAACAGGGTGGAGACAGACTTTGAGCCCTCTTGAACCGGCGCTGCCACGCTGAGGTGAGGGTAAACAAGTTTTGGGTGTCTGCAGCCCAGCCAGCTCACCTTTCCCACACCTTCTCATGTGGGGGTTCTTGGGTGTCCTCCAGTGTGCACGCAGATGTGTGATCCTGCTGGGGAGAAGGAGGGTGGCCCATGGGACTCACATCCCCACACTCATTTTGGCATGGCTTGTGGTTTCCTGCCAGGGGCAAACAGAGCCTGGCCAAAGGCTGGGCTCAGTGGGGTGGCCCATGGGTCCCGGCAGAGCTCCCCATTGAGGACCTCTGGGCATGGTGGGCCAGCACAGACGATGGGGTTAGACCTGCTGATGATATAATTTAAGCTTTGTCCCACCCCAGCCAGCTACTGGAGTCCTGGGTCCATACACCCCTCTGCACAGGGCTGGTGAGGCAGCACACCCATGGGGGATGCCCCATGGGGAAGATGGAGGCCAAGAGATGGGTCTGGTTTTGCTTTTTTCCAGCTCTCCAGCCTGCAACGCACACAAGCAGTTAATCTCAGGCCGCACAGAGCTGGCTGCTTACCTGGTTAGAGCAGTGCCTGGCAGAGGGAGGGACGAGGGCATGGCTCAGCACCTTGCCAGGGCAGGCATCACTGCAAAAATATTTGCTGAAAGAAGTGCAGCTCCACCCCAAGGAAAACTAGGGCCGGGAGCACAGCCCGCTCCGCGTTTGCAGACAGTGGGTGGTGGCGAGCGGGGGAATGCGTGCGGCTGCAGGGAGCCGAGCACGTCCACGCGCTCCCCTTGCAGCTAGGCACTGCCTGGCACCTCCGCTCAGCACCAACCGGGCTCACCCAAAGGTGCCAGGCAGGGACGGGTGGCTGGGCAAGGCGACAGGCACTAGGGATCCTGTCCGTGGGGAGATCCTGGCACCGGAGGTGGAGGAGCCCTCGGCACCTCGGTGGGCAGCCATGGGCTGCTGGAGGGGCCCCAGCACTGTGCTGGCCTGCCTGCTTCTCCTGCGTCCGCTGCCCTCACCAGCCTGCCCTGCCGCCTGCCGCTGCTCCTCAGGGGAGGCGGACTGCAGCAAGCATGCCCTCCGCGAGGTGCCGCAGAGTCTGTCGGCCAACACCAGCACCCTGTGGCTCGGCTACAACTTCATCACCGTGCTGGGGCCGCGATCCTTCCCTCCCTTGCCGGGGCTGCTGCTGCTCAGCCTGCCCCACAACCACCTAGGGCTGATCCACAGCCAGGCACTGGTGGGGCTCGGGGCTCTGCAGGAGCTGGACCTCAGCAACAACTACCTAACTGCGCTGACCCCCGAAACCTTCCTGCCCCTCACCAGCCTGGCCACACTCAACCTGGGCAGCAACAGGCTGGGGGAGCTGGATCCCGGGGTGCTGCATGCCCTGCCCCAGCTCCAAGCCCTCCTCCTGCAGGACAACCCCTGGGTGTGCAGCTGCGGCATCCTGCCCCTCTGGCACTGGCTCAGCCACAACAGGGAAAAAGTGCAAGGTGAGTGCCCGGAGGACCGTGTCCCCAAGCCCCCCACCCACTCCACGCTGGCTGGTCACCCCGCCGGGGCTGAGGCAGGACCCAGCACCCTGGCTCCCAGCCAGCCGGCAGCCATGCTGCTGGAGGGGCCCCAGCACCGTGCTGGCCTGCCTGCTTCTCCTGCGTCCGCTGCCCTCACCAGCCTGCCCTGCCGCCTGCCGCTGCTCCTCAGGGGAGGCGGACTGCAGCAAGCATGCCCTCCGCGAGGTGCCGCAGAGTCTGTCGGCCAACACCAGCACCCTGTGGCTCGGCTACAACTTCATCACCGTGCTGGGGCCGCGATCCTTCCCTCCCTTGCCGGGGCTGCTGCTGCTCAGCCTGCCCCACAACCACCTAGGGCTGATCCACAGCCAGGCACTGGTGGGGCTCGGGGCTCTGCAGGAGCTGGACCTCAGCAACAACTACCTAACTGCGCTGACCCCCGAAACCTTCCTGCCCCTCACCAGCCTGGCCACACTCAACCTGGGCAGCAACAGGCTGGGGGAGCTGGATCCTGGGGTGCTGCATGCCCTGCCCCAGCTCCAAGCCCTCCTCCTGCAGGACAACCCCTGGGTGTGCAGCTGCGGCATCCTGCCCCTCTGGCACTGGCTCAGCCACAACAGGGAAAAAGTGCAAGGTGAGTGCCCGGAGGACCGTGTCCCCAAGCCCCCCACCCACTCCACGCTGGCTGGTCACCCCGCTGGGGCTGAGGCAGGACCCAGCACCCTGGCTCCCAGCCAGCCATGGGCTCATGTTGTCGGTGCCCATGGGGGTATGGTGAGGCTCCCCAGGAGGGAGCCAGACACAGGCCATGGCAGCTCCTGTGTTTGCTTGGGTGGATGCATCCCTGGGTCTGGTCCCTGGTGCCCACTCTTGGTCACCAGCAGGGATTGCCTGGAAAGGAGGGCTGGGCAATGGCCCAGCAACAGGCACCCAGCGCTGTCCCCAGCAGTGACACCAGTCCTGCCACAGTGAGGGCAAGGCAAGCTGGGCAATGGGCACCTGAGGGGGCAAGATGAGCCTGTGTGTCAGGGTGGGCATCACCGCTGATTCGGCCAGGACTCAGTGCCTTCAGCCCCTTCCCCAGTGCCTTCATGAACATCGGTCTGATCCTGCATTTCTTCCCCCATGAACCTCGGTGAGAGAGCTCTGCCAGTGAGGTCTCTCCCTTTGCTGCCACCCACTCCTGCTTGCTTCCAGCTTGGGTGCACGCCTGTCACTCGTGCTGGCTGGGACCTTCTGTGGCATCTCCAGGCTGGCTGCTCACTGCCCGCCATGTCTGTCCCCTGGGAACCAGGCCCACCATCTTGCCTGCCTCATCTACTGTCCTGCTCCATCCTATCCTGCCCCAAAACCGTTTTCCAGTGCCCTCTCCAGCACTGCGCCCACCTCCCCATCCTGTCCCACTCCCCAGGGCGCAGGATGTAGATGAGCCCTGAACCTTCACTGCTCCCCTTCTTTGTACCCTGCCCTGGGCTATCTTGATCAACCTGGCCCCTGTCCTCCTGCCCTGGTCCCGTCTGTCCCATACAGACCTGCCATCCCCTCTGTCCTTGACACCTGCCTTGTCCCAGCTGCCCAGTGTGCCCATCAGCACTGCTTTTCTCTTCCAGAGAAGAGTTTGCTCCTGTGCAGAGTCCCGGAGCACCCGAATGAGTATCCGATCATGGCCTTCAGGAATGAGTCCTTCAGGCAATGCCAGGAGACCTCACTGTCCGCTCAGCACTACATCACCTTCTTGATCATCGGACCGTTCTCCTTCATGGCCAGCATCTTCTTCTGCACCTTCATGGGCTCCATCATAGTCGTTTACCACAACCTGCGCAGGGAATCCCACTTCTGGAGGAGACCCCGCATCTGCAGGGGCCGCTGAGGCAGGGCGACCAGGCTTTAGCCCCAGGCAGGCTGTGGTCCATGCCCTTCTCCAGGTGTCTGCACCCCACTGTTGCAAACATTTCCCTGTGGACCAGTGAGAGGATGCTCTGTTCCTGGAAATCACTTTTCTTCCCCCTCCCAGAGTCCCCCGAGATGATGCCAAGCTCCCTCTGCCCCGCTGCCGGGGGGAGCAGCCTCCAGCTCAGCCTCCCTGCAGCGCAGTCTGACCTCAGCTACTCTCTGTGTTTCGGGAGGCTCCCCCAGGCTACCCTCAGACCTGCACATCCCCTTCCCAGGGGGGCCAGGTGATCCTTCTCCTCCAGCTCACCCTGTCCTGCCCCTTCTGCTGCCCAGAGGCCTCAGTGTGCATTTCAGGATGCACCGTATGCCTCCATGTGCCTTTTGGTGCATCCTGGGAGCCCCTGTGTGCATCTCAGGAGACACCGTATTCCTCTGTGTGCCTTTCAGTGCACCCCAGGAGCCTCCATTTGCCCTTCAATGCAGCCCAGGAGCCTCTGCATGCCTTTCAGTTTGCCCCAAAGTCCTCCTTGGGCCTTTTGGTGCCCCCAGCACTCCCCATCTGCCATTCAGTGACCCCAGCAGACCCAGCGTGCCTTTCTGTGCCCTCAAGACCCCTTGGCTTGGCTTTTTGTGCATCCAAATGCCATCTGTTTAGCTTTCTGTGTCCTGACAGGCATTGATTTGCCTTCTGATATGCCCCAGAGCTCTCCATGTGCCTTTTGGTGCACCGGAAGATCTCTGTGTGCTTTTGGGGGACTCCAGAGCCTCCATGGGACTTTCAGAAAGCCCCAGACCCCTCCATGTGCTGCCCAAGGACAGGGCAGGTTGCAAAATGTTTCTTTTGATAGCTTTTTTACCTTGAGACAGGGCTGCTGGTGCTGAGAAAGCTCAGCCAACAACCAAGATCTAGGGTGAGGCTGAGGTTTAGGATGAGGGTTGGAAAGAGACAAAGCCTTGAGCTCCCGCTGATGCAGTTTGGCAAAGGGGCTGCCAAAGGATGGGTGAGGCTGCACAGTGGTTCCTCCCCCAGTAGCTTTTCCCCTAGGCTAAAGCTCATCCAAGGCCAAGGTCTAGGGTTAGCTCAGTGATGGGAGTGGGGACAAAAATGCCCATGTGGGTTTACAGCACAGAGCCTGCAGCCCTTGCTGCTGCCTCACCTCCCATCACCCACAAAAAAGGGCTGGGGCTGCCCCTGCATCTCCCTGCCCTGCCACCTCCTGCCCTTCCCTGTGGAAATGCTTCTTCCCTCCATTGCATGGAAATGCTTAGTGAGCGTGCTGGGAGATGGCCTGGAAGGAGCTGGAGCTGTGCTCCAGAGGAAAGCACAAGCTGGGGTGACAAAAGCATCTCTCAAGGAGGAGCAACAGCCCTTTCTGGCATGAGTTCTTACCCATTGCAAGGTGATAAGAGCCACAGTGAGATGACTGGCCACCAGCCTCCCCCTGTCCGCTCAATCTCTTGCCCATGCAAGCGCTGTGGGACAAGTCAGGGCTGTGGTGGGGGGTCAGTGCATCCTTTGGCAAGCTCTTGGCAAGGGTTAAATAAATCATGCAGAGAATAAACCAAATGTCACAATTTTTACTTTCAAGAGAGAAACCAACCCAGCGTGCTGCCACACTGCTCGATTCCCACTTGGCTCTTCCTGCGGTGCCTCTCCCCAGCGAGGGGTGTGAGGTGAAAGCAGCAGCTCCTCCAGTGCTACCAGCCCTGCACCCGGGATGGCTGCAGGACCTCTGCCAGGATCAGCCCCTTGCACGGCGCTTTTCCCAGGAGCAATCCCAGCTCTCCCAGACCCTCTCTATTGACAGCACTCAGTCCTTCCCGAGAAGACCTGGGCTTCCCATTTGGAGCTAGGACCCCGCTTGTCATGCTGCATGGCCCCACTCCTCCTCCCAGATCGTCCTGAGGCTGAGACCCCCATGGAGGTTGGGCTGGTGGTCTCAGCACATGGGGAGCATGCTGTGAATGAGTGATGTTGCTTCAGTTCAGCCCAGGGGAGCTGCCTCTCTGTTTTGCAAATCCCTTGGGGCACCTCCCTACAGGGCTGATGTGCGGGGACGTCCCCAGATGCCTTCATCCCTGCAGTCGGTCCTCTGTTCCCAAAGGCCAGCCCCACTGGCAATGCCCCACACTGGCTCCCAGGAGCTGGGGAGCACAGCAGTGGCAGGGGACTGTTTTCCCCTGGATGGCAGTGGAGAGTGGAGAGTGGAGAGCCAGCTGGCATGGCGCTGGACAGTTTCAGACTGTCCCCAGCCCCCTGCTGCCAGGCCTGTCCCACCTCCCACCCTGTTCAGGCTGTCCATCAGCCTGCCATCCCAGAATCGCTGGCATTTGGACAGTTTCAGACTGTCCCCAGCCCCCTGCTGCCAGGCCTGTCCCACCACACTGGCTGTTCAGGCTGTCCATCAGCCTGCCATCCCAGAATGGTGATGCCCCTTCCCTCCCGGTCTTCCCTGCAGCTCCTGGCCTTTCTCCCTGCTGGCTTCTCCGTCCCTCCCCGTTCCCCCACCTTTCACTGTTTGCAAACCCTGCAGCAGTGCTGGGTGAGGCTCTGATTCAGCACAGGGCTCCCTGCCAGCTTTGCCAGAAGGCAGAGATGGAAAGAGGCACACGGCACTGGAATAAACCACTTCATGATCCAGTCTAGACTTTACTGAGCTCTTGCAAAAACTTGGTATTAATGTTACATTGACGTATAAAGTAGAATGGGTCCAATTTCTCAGCTGGAGCGAGATGAACTTGATGGAGCCACTGCAGTCAGTGGGATGATGCTCACAGACCTCAGCTGCCGTATGAAAATCCTGCCTGCAAAGGCTGCCGACCCTCAGGGGGAAACCCCATCTGCTTGGCTGGGGCAAGGAGAAGGCAGTTCATGCCGCTGGGGCTTGGTACCACGTTGCAGGTGGGTCTTCTGCCTTCACAGGAGGTGGGATGCAATCGTGCCCGTGCGCATGCTGTAGCTGCTCATCACCAGGCTGGCTGATGCCAGACGCTTCCCCGACGCTGGTGTCTCTGCACCCGCTCACAGCGCCCACGGGGAGGGTGCTCAGGGCTGCTGGCACATGGGCACGTATGTTTGAGGGGGAGGAAGGTGTAGGGAGGAACGGCGTCAGCCTGTCTCGTTTGGTTCCCTTCTCCTGAACTGGGATCCGGTTTCCAGTCCTCCAGGTTCAGGTGGATGCAGCCACGTGAGCTGGGGCTTCTGGGCTGCCACGGGAGCTGCTGGCAAGCTTGAACTGCAGGTGAGTGTGGCAGGGAAGCTGCCAGTGCCTGCTGTGGTGCCCCAACACTGCAAGCAGGCTGGGTAACCACTACGGACACTGCAGCACACAGCAGGCCACAACTGGCCAGCAGCATCTCTCCTTGCATTGCTGGTGCTGAGGCAGTGTGGAGCTTGGCTAAAGGTCAATGCAGCCATCCAGAGCCATTCCCCACGGAGATGTTCCTGGCCAGGAGAGCCACGGTGTGAGAGCTACATGCTGGCCATGGCCAGGTCCTGGGGATGTCTTCTGTGCAGGGGAGGTGGCGAGCCATGACCTTGGCTGACAGCATGTTATGAGCTCCAGAGTACCACGTTTAGCACAGGAGCGTGGGCTGCTGGGCTGAGAGCACTCCTGCTGCAAACAGACCACGTACAGGAGCCAAGTCATAGCCACGGGCTGATGGGAGGGAGGATCAGGGGGTTCATCCCCTGCGAGGAGCAGAGCACACATCTTCCAGCCCTGCCACAGAGGTGGAGGTCACTCAGCACAGCAGGAACACATGCCCAACCTGCCGAACCATACTGGCTGCTCCAGCTGCTCGGGACCATGAGCACGTCGCACTGGAGCCCTCCGGGGTGGTGGGAGACGTGGAGCACACGTCTGAGGGGCTGTGCATGTGCTGAGAAGCCTGAAGCCTGCAAAGTGAAGCACATGTTTGTCGTCTGGCACCAGCCCTTCCCCGCTACTATGGGAGAGCAGGCACCGTGTGCCTTTCGAAGACCTTTCCCCTTGCACGTAGCCAGTCAGTGGCAATACTGATTATCAACAGCACTGGTTGGAAGCAATTATCTCTGTACAGTGAAGTCCAAACCATGTCCTGGTTCTGCCGTGCATTCTGGGGCACGAGCATGGCAGCAGGCCTAGGAAGGGAGGGAGATATACAATGAAGTCACTGTGTATGGATGAAGGATGCTTTCCTCCCATCTCACCCAGAAGAACCCATCAGTGTCCCTTGAAAGGCAGTCCTGGCTGTGCCTTCCTACTGTGTTGGGCAAGGACTGATGGCCCTCGGGGAGAAGGTCACACCACAGTGCTGACTGAGGGGTCGGAGAGGTTGAGCTGGCCGGTGATGTCGGTGGGATGATATTGCTGCAACACACAAATACACAGACAAAGAGAAAGAAGTGTTAGGCAGTTCTGGCACTTGCCCCCGCCTCTACTTACATCCCATGTGTCCCTACAGGATATCTCTTGGGGGTGATGCAGCAGCCCAGAACCTGCTGCTGGCTGAGGTCCCCTTCCCAATGCAATCCAAGCTTGTGCAGAGGTCGTTGCAGACACTCTCCAAGCACCCTACAGCTGGGCAGGGAGGACGCCCAGGAGCACGGTGCAGCTTCTGCAGAGCGTGGCAGCCGCGTCACCTGCTGAGCGAGCCCCTCTCTGCTCTGGGAGAGCTACAAGACAAAACCTGTGACTCATCAGCCCAGCCCACGGCTGAACCTGTGTTTGGAGGGTCTGTCTGGGTTTCGGCATCTCTCTGGTGCCAGATCAAGCTGTGCTTTGAGGCCAGGGCGTTTCACCTCCTTGCTTGAATGACTCTGCTTTGACTATCCTTTCATGCAGGTGAGGAGATGTGCGGTGTAGTTGACTTGCGATAAACTGTAGCGTTAATTGCTAATGTGAAAATACAGCCTGTGTTGGGGATGTGGCCTGGATTTGGGGTTCTGCGCTCCTTGCGGATGGAGGGGCTTGGCAAACACTCCCTGGGAGAGAC